TTCCTCTCTGCTTTCATGTCCCCTGTCCGTGGCTGCAAGTTTCACCCTGCACCGTGTTTGGCGTAGTTACCTGTCTCTTCTAGTAGGCTGACGGTAAGCTTCTTGAAGACAGAGATCACAGGACTCCAGCCTTTAGCATCCGTGCCCTGGCCTGACACACGGGTGCTCACCTGGTTTAAACAAATGAACCAAAGCTTCAAGTGGATTTTCAGATACTTGAAGGACTGCGCTGTAGATGATGGAAGGGATTTCTAGAAGGCCAAGAACAAGCATGAGTGGGGCAGGCGCTCAGGAGATGGCTTTGGGCTTATTGGAGTAAAGGCCTTAGGATCAGTCAGCATGCTCAGTTCCACAACAAAAGCCTTGTTTGAAGTAGCTGAACAAAGGGAGAACTTTCTGGGTACAGATTCTAAGGAAAGTTCTCATTTCTGACCTGCAGGAAGGTGGAGGAGGATGCTGAACCTCAGGAACACCTGCAGTAAGGCACCTGAGAGCCGTCAGGACTTGGTGCCCTTGGCCTCTGCCTCTCTGTGTCAGCTTCCTCACCACAGACCAGCCTGCACATGGCAGGACATGGGTGATGAAGGTCAGGCCTCATAGCTTTCCACGGACTGCTTTTCCTTCCCGATTTCAGTTTTAAATGTTTTGAAGAGGGACCAGCAGATGGCGTAAAGGTTATGTTGCTGGACTCCTATGTAGTTGACCGTGGTTAGAGTCCCAGAGGCAGTGGCTTAAAAGTTGTTCGTGTGTCCATGTGTCCATGCCCAAAATCCCAAGAGGAGAATAGAGGAGAAGGGATTGCAGTGTGGCCATCTCCTCTGGGGAGTGATTTCTCGCTTTCTGTCTGTCTCTCGGGCGGGCGAGCACACATGCCCTATAGCAAAAACCTCAACAATAACAAAAAGTTTTGAAGAACTTTTTTTTTTTTTAAATTTGCTGTAGAATGTGTGTACTTGTCAGAAAGAGAGAGCGAGAAAGCACACACCTCTGCCCATGGAGATTGGTCATGCCATAATCCCTTCTCTCCCATCTCTCCTTTCAGGATTTTGGGCATGCGTGCACATGTGCCTGGTGTGTTTCTCAAGCTGTCGTTTCTGGGATTCGAACTATAGCCAGTCATGTGGGATCTGGCTGCCTCAACCACCAGGCCATAGGCTGGCCCAGTGAAGAACTTTAATTGGCACAGCTTGGTCTGTGATCAAAGAGAAGGGTACCATGAATAGCCTGGCTCGTGTCAGATGCCAACCAAGTGAGGCCAAGTGTGAGACCTTGTAGAAACAAGGTAGCTGCCCCTGGAACCACACAGAGTCAAGGGAGAAGCCATTTCCAGAAGGATTGGGATGAGGGTCTAACTCGGAGAACAGAGGGTTGTGCTTCTTGGCTCCCACTTTCCAACAATTACAGCCATCCAGCCCCAGGTACTCCCAGGTGCCCCTGGAAGGCAAGAGAGTTAGGATGGATAAACGGGTTGCCTCACGCCCACGATTTAGTCAGGTTTAGGCAGTGTTCAGCAGCTTGCTCTGGGAAATTGTTGAATGATCTAATTATTTTTTGGTCATGAGGGCCCAGCCCATGTTACCCCCTGGCCCTGGGAGTCAGAGGCTGAAGTGTGGAGGAGAGTCACTTGTTCTAGAAGCATTTGTTGAGCCCTCGTCCATGCTCGTAATGGGAGGGGTCGGGGGAGTAGACACAGGCGTTGCACCCAGAGGTGTTCCAGCCTCTCTGGGTCTGGGGGCACTGATGGAGGTGGCCCGGTGTGTCTGGACCAACAGTCACCCGCTGGGCGGGGACAGGGGGACAGTGCAGGCAACAGGGCTGCCTCCCGGGCCCCTTGGCTTCCGTGATCTGCCCAAGCTCCCAAATTCGGAACAGCTTACCTGGGCCCTCTGGCCCCTCCATGCTGACGTCAGAGGGGGCAGAGGCTGAGCTTCCTGTCTGCAAATCAGCACCGGGAGTGGGGCGGGGGCCCTAGACATAGGCCGGCCGAGGGGTGTAATCTCATCCCCCAACCGGGCTTCGCTCCCTCCCTCAGGGAGGCCTCCCAGGGATGCCGTGGCCCCGACGTCGCCGCCCACACGTCGGTCCTCTGGGCTGGGGACCCGGGAGCTCCCGCGGCCCTGCGCCCCCGGGCGGGCGCCTGGGAGCTGCGCGGGCCGGGCGGGGGAGGGACAGCAGCAGGTGACGAGGGCCGGCCCCAGGCGCTATAAATAGGGGCGCGCGTCCGCCCCGGGCGGGAGCCGCGGGCGGGGG